GGTTATAGGAATACTGCTAGTTCCAGTGATTCAGGTTTGTATTTTTTTTTCCCCTAAAAAAAATTAAAATAAAAAAATCGGCATGCTCTTCCTCTAAATCTGGAAAAAACAGTTAGGTGGCCAAATTCTCTCTTCTCTAGAGACGTAAGTACTTGAGAGAATGTGCCGGATACCTAACCTCAGAGACAGGATTTGCAGTGCAGGGGGACTAGAGCCACATGTGTAGACCATTCAATAGAAGTGAGTTGGAACTATGGGGCTTATTCAGTGCTGCTCCATGTTGGCTATATGCTCTAATGCTTGTTTTTAAACTCTACACTTTTAAAAAGGACAAAAGATGGAGCCAGACTAGTGTTTAAAAAATTGTTTATTTTTTTTTAAAAGTCTAGTTTTTTGTATTTCCCTAAACACAAGACTAGTTCACAAGGTAACTTTGGTATATAGGGGCAATCAAAAGTTAGTTTTAAATACAGTTAATAGACCATATATCCCTGCTGGGGTAAAAGCATGGAAGGTAGCACCATTTTCTGTTTCCCAGTACTGCAATCAGGGCCATCCCTAGGGTACAACAAATTGGAGCCCCTGCAAGGCTGTTGGGCACCATGGCTCAGCTTGGGGGTGGAGGGGGGACCTGCCACAAGGGTGTCCCTGACCTGACCCAACCCAACCCAGCTTGCCCCCCACTTTGGCTGCCCTGTGCTGTAGACACCCCCTGGGGCAGGCTGCACCAGTGACAGCACTCTGTGCCTGGGCCAGGGTTGCTGCTTCTATCCTGCTCTGCAGCCCATGTTACCCAGCTCTCTCTTAAGGGGGCCCCACACAGGCTGAGCCTATTTGCCTCAGGCCCTGCCCCCCCGCCCCCCCTTGGGCCTCCACTGACTAAAGTAATGTAACATGTATGTTGTGTGACCTTAACTGAAAGTAGGTTAAAAAGGAAGCCATCTTGTAACTTCTAACAAGAGTTTCCTTGCATATATAGTATTCTTACAGCTACCCAATGTATCAGTTTTTATTGTACAGGCAGTCCTTGCATTTTTCAGGAACCAATTGTGTTGTGTTGTAAGTCCATTTCAATTTGCAACATTGCAACTTGGAACTGACTCTCTCTTCTCCCCCCCCCCCCCCCCCCCAAAGGAAACAATGTTATAAATAGGGGATTGGTTCCTAAACCAAGGCCCGATACCTAATTTTCCCCAAAAATAACCCAGAATGTTGTACTCTGTCAATTATAGATAAAATACATTAATGTAGCCATGTTACTTATGTTGTAAATAGCAATCGCATTGCTTTGGAAGGACTTCTTTGAGGTGACTTTGGACTTTTTGAAGGGTTCTTGGCTGGAGTCTTCTCAGGAGTCTTGGCTGCTTTCTGGAAATTGTCCCAGGAAGTTTGGACAGATGTTCTCCAGGGAGATAGGTGATGCAGTGAACTTGTTCGCTGGTGTGGCATTGCGTCAGATCAAGTGTTTGTGAAGTTGAAATGGGGTGTCAGTTTATAAATGTTGTAACTTGACTCGCTGTAAGTTGAAGACTACCTGTACTACATAAATGTGTGCATCTTTTTTTTTCTCTTCAAGAAACATGTCAAATATTGGGAACGAATGCTGCCAACCTCACTTGCAATGCTAGCACAAAGTCTTCACTCTCCAACTACCTCTATGTCTTCATCCTGGGACAGCTGCTACTAGGAGTAGGAGGAACTCCCTTGTATACTCTGGGAACAGCCTTCATTGATGATAGTGTCCCAAAACACAAATCTTCACTTTACATAGGTAAATCCTATATGGGTAACTTTTTTTTGTTTGTTTTTAAATTTAAAAACAAAGTTGGCAACTAATGCATGAAAGTCTGTTTGTAAATGTATTGACAATCTGCTGTTAAGTCTTCAAATCCGATCAGTCACTTTATTTAGATACCTGCAGGAGCTGCTCTAATAGGTGGCGCACAAATATTTAGCGCCTGACCATGTAGTCAGACTAACTTTTAACATCCTAGGCTGACTAACCTGGAACAAGGGTGGACTCCACAGTGCTTGGATACTTCATTTGATTAGCTCTTCATGTGCATTCATCCTTGTATTTTGTAAAATAGAAAGATAACCATGAATGCAAGATGACCCTCCAATAATTAGGTTCTATGTATGGAAAACTTTGTGAACTTGTTATAACTTTTCCAGGCATAGAACCTTTAATTACTGGAGGCTTGCCTGGAGTCTTCCTCTACTGTAGCAGTGGGAGGGAGATGAATCTGGGAGTGCTCAGGTGGTATCCCCTCACTCCTTACTGCTGGACCCTGCTCTCCCTGAGCACCTGTAAGTGAGGGACAAATTTTTATAACACCGACTTTGAAATAAGCATGCTGGTACCCATAGACTTGGTTTGTACAAAATTTTCTTAGTTTGAACTGCTGCTGGTTTTAGCCCAGGTACTCTCTAAACATATTTTAAGCAGTACTTATGTACTGACTTCATCTATGGTGTAAAACATGCAGTGATACTAATCCCAAACCAAAAGGCTCATGGCTTACAATGCAACTCATTGGGCTGGGCCCCAGCAGAACCCATGACATTTCAAGCTGTGGTGACCCCACAGTTCAGCATTACTCTGTGTAGGCTTGTACTTCAGATACCACCACTCTCCCTTGCTTCCCAATTAGAAGGAGGTAGTCTTGTCCTGAGCCCTGGGATCCTCCAAAACTGTATATGCAGATGAGGCACAGGACAACTTGGTTTGGCTTCCCCTCCATGGAATGTAGACCCACACTAATTGGGTGACTGGTTGGTGGAGGGGGGGTAACCAAAGGGATTTGGTTTGAGGCCCTGTCTGGTGAGGTTTGCTAGACGCTTAAAGCTGGTAAAGAAATAAAAACAAAAAAAACCTTTTTTTGGAAATGGGAAAAGAAGGGTACAGTTTGGCTACAGGAGCAAAGAAGTCAATGTGTGCAATGCTGTGGCTCACCGTGACTTTGGGGGGGACCTGTTGGTGCTGATGGGAATTGCACTCAGTGGGCACTACCATGCGTCTTGAGCAGCACCAACCTATCCTTGTGGTTTGCCTGATATGGGCTATGTTTCATAATTGTCCTCAGTGGCTGTATTTAATCAACTGCATACCTGGTTTCTGTGACTGAGTACATGCTGCTTTTTGTAGCAGTTTAATGATGGACAGTGTATACAGATGTAATAAAGGGGCTCTTCTCTGTGCTGGGGAGAACCTAACTTTGAATTTGAGTAAATGCCATATTGCCTTCAAATGACAACTAATCCACTTTGAACATGACTGGGGTTTTATATCTAGCTATGCTTGGCATCTACTCTACCTCCAAGATCTAGAAACTAATTCAGCAATTGATTCTCAGTGTACCTGTTAAATGTCTAATGTCTGGTTGTTCACTTCTAAAGAGTATTGCACTCAGCACTTTTGTATTAAGGTGAAATTCCTATGCAGGAATTGGTGAAACAAGCCTTTCTTACAGTCAGGATAAATAATTGCTTTAAACATACGTTTATCATACCTTCTCCTTTTTTTTCTCAAATCTTCTACATTGACATGTTGACCTATCCACTTTGTGAATTGCTCTTTTCTAAATGGTACAAGAAAGTCTACTGGTTAGACTTTCTAGTCTTATCTGCACTAGTATGACTAAAATGTTTACTTCTCCCCTCTAACTTTGTAGTGGCTCAAACAATTTTTTTGCAGTGTTCTTGACAACTTTTATCTTTGGTTTTGGCTCTATACCACATGTGCATGAGAAGAGGCACAACTTTTGGATTAGATCTCAATTGCACTGTAGTAGGGCATTGGTGTGCCTGCCACTCTTTCTAATGGTGTAGGGGCTCCCTGGGGGGTGTAGGGGCTGATTGCAGGCTCACCAGACTCAATGAAGGCCAGGCTGGGGCTAGATAAGCCCAGTGCCTGAGCCAGTTGGGGAGCCTAGCCCTGTGATCATGAGAAGACCTTGTTTTGTTTGTTTTTTTCTTTGCAGGAGGGATCCTGAGGGAATAAAGGATAGGGGAAGCAGAAAGAAAGAATATTACCTGGGGCAGAGAAGAAAGTTCAGAAAAGAGAAACAGGCAAAGGGCCTTTGTTTTACACTGATAATATTGTTTGAGTTGCGAGCCTTGAGTCCTGCTGGAGACCAGCTCAAGGCTTAGAGAATTCCCCAGCCCAGAAAAGGGGATTGAGCTGGTAGACATTATTCTCTTGCCCTCCTGAGAACTGAGCAGAGCACTGAGGGCCCCCAGCTCCAGAGCAAGACACATGGGCAGAAGCCCATTGTGCCCCCATGAGTCCCAGCACCCTCAAAGACTTGCCCCACCCCCTTAGCCTAGCCAGAGGTAAGCAGGGGCCTGTAGTGGGAGAGACTTAGCCCAGCTTCAGGGAGGCAGTTGAAAAGAGCAGAGAAGGGTCACACCCTCCCCGGCGCATACTTCACCTAGCCCCCCAGGGAGCCACGCAACTGGAGCCTTGTGAACAGAAAGCACAAATGGGCATGCTTCTAGGAGGCCTGGCATGTGACTTAGTGTGGGAGTTTGCACAAGAGGGGCCCAAGGACCTAGGCAGCAAGCCTCAAGGGAACAGTTGTCATGGTAGTGGCCAAATAATTACACCAGTAGTAGTGGGTGGGATAAGTCTTACCTAGGTTCCCCCCTGTGGCTGGATCCCTCCCCTCTGGTACTTCTGAGGTTTCCAACCAGACAAAACCCATGGTTCCAGCCTCTGTTCAGATGGAGCCCCTGGCTGTGGGGGCTGCCTGGCACAACTCCAAGCATTTGGGATAGGGAGCATTGCAACCTCCCTTTTGAGGTTTGCTTTGTATTGGAGTCTCAAATCCCAGATAGTGGAGCTCCAGAGCATGGTGCAGAGGCTGCATGCCAGCAGGGATGGCAAATAGGAGATTAGGTTCCTACTGCTAGGCTCTTCACCCCAGGAAAAAGAAGGAAGACCCTAGGCCACCTGCCAGGACCAGGGGGGTCAAGAGGCACTCCCATACTGTCCAGCCAGGGGTCTGGATGCAAGTTGTCTCCAGACCCAAGGCTCACTGTCCCAGGGTCACTACCCCCCCCCCCCGCCCCTTCCCTCA